GTCCCCTCCCAGCTTCTCGTGCACCCCCAGCCTGCTCGCTGGTGGGGTGGGGTGAGGAGCAGAAAAGGCCTTGACTCTGTGTCAGCCCTGCTCAGCAGTAACGAAAACAGCCCTGTGTTATCAACGCTGTTTCCAGCACAAATCCAAAACACAGCCCCGTACCAGCTACTATGGAGAAAATTAACTCTGTCCCAGCCAAAAGCAGCACACTGCATCACCTGCAATTAATTCTGTAAGTAAGCAAAGATTGTAGGGGCAGAGCTATTCATATAGTATATTAAAAATGTCTGCTAGCACCTGGCCACTTGTGCATTTTCCCTTTAACACAAATAGCTATAAATGCCATAAAAGGTTTTATGTGAAAGTTGGTTATATGCTACCCAAAAAGAATTCATTATTGTATCATTCTGCGTGTATTTTTTTTTTCACTGAGCTTCGTGTTAATTATTAGTCGGTCCGTAGAAAGCTCGCTGTCAGAAGGGATCAAGAGTTATGTATAGTGCTCTCATAGAAAGGGAGGTATTAACCTTTCTCAGGCTTCTTCCCTCCTCTTGCTAGGAGAAGCAGAAAAAGATGATAAAGATGTGCTTCCCAGTCTGGACAGCTTCTTAGCAAAACACACGAGTGAAGATAATGCTTCGTTTGAGCAGATCATGGAAGTGGCCAAAGAGAAGGAGAAAGTCAAGCATGCTTGGCTGTACAGTGCAGAAGAGCAGTATGCCCAGGTAGGGAAATGGCTCAGCTGTATCTCTGCTCTTCCAAAGTGACACAACAGGGAAACACCATTTTACTATATTTCTTTCTTGTTTGATTAAAGAGAATATTATTTCACCCTCTGTTTTCAAATCCTGCTATAAATACGGATGAGAATTCATTGGTTCTGAGCATGGGGCTATTGTGTTAGACTGTTGAATTACTCATATTATTGAATAAGAATAGAAAGGTCTTGATTTTGAATAGTAGGTGCATGGGGTGATCACATCTAAATCTGAGCTAAGCCTGAGTTTCCTGGGTCCTGTGACAGCTCATTGCTTCCTTTTGCAGTTCTGTTTTTTCCCCATCTGTAACCCAAGAATAGTGTTGACATAGTTGCTGAGGATCTGTCTCTTCCTAAAGCTTTGAGACTGTGAAGCATTGCACTAAGTGCAAGTATTGCAGTTCTCGGCAGTCTCTTCCATAAGCAGCAGGACCAAGGAGAGCAGCTGAGAACAGTTCCTGCTGTTTTGGTGAAACATTGGAACAGGCTGCCCAGGGAAGTGGTGGAGTCCCCATCCCTCGAGGTATTTAAAAGACGTGTAGATGAGGCACTTAGGGACATGGTTTAGTGGGTTCCAACCTCATGATTCTATGATTCTATGATTCTATGCTGTTTGTCCATCAGCCCTTTATTATTCACGGTTAGATTGTCTGTCTGTCTTCATTTTTCTGTTTCTATTATCAGTAATAATCCATTCAGCTGCCGAAGTAAAGTACTGTACACAGTATGGCTGGCTGTGCTGTCTTCCTCAGCTAGCTTCGTGGGAGGTTCAGGAGCTGTTCTCGGGCTGCCATGTCGATCTTTGTCCATCAGCAGTGAGCAGCTGGCACTGTTGCCAGATGTGTCAGTGATGGATGTGAGC